GAGAGAGAGAGAGAGAGAGAGAGAGAGAGAGAGAGAGAGAGAAGGAAAAAGCATAGCCAGGATCCAACCAACATTATCTGGCAACAAGGCTGATTTGGCGGGGTAGCCCCATAAAGTCACATTACCCCTCTAGTTTCTTATTCAAAAATCAACTCATTATTCCCAGCACCTACTTTGAAGTTTGTATCTACGTAGAACTTTCAGACCTGTAGTCTTGTTGGATACTCACAACAGCCCACCTAGTATATCTGTGATCTGATGTAATTATCTATATTTACCAAAGCCCAAGCTCAGGGAGGGTAAGGAGGACTGCAGCATCATCCAGCGGGTATAGAGGGAGCTGGGATTTGAACACAGGCCTTTTAGCAACTCTTGTCATTCTATAAAATGTTCCTTTAGGAGCCATAATTCTGTAGAAATGCAGTATCTCCATCTGGTCTTCCCCAGAACCCCTCCCCCTCCAAGGACCACAGCCTTCCCCAGTAAATAGTTTGTCTTCCACAACCAAAAACTGCTCAGAAACCACACTCTTCCCATAGTGCCCTAGGCATGAACCTAGGGCAGAGTCCAGGATCTTCAGCGAGGCATCAAGACTGCCTTTGGCCTCTGTCAACCTGTCCCATTGTCTCTTCTCTCACCCCAATCCAGTTTACATGTGATGACCACACCTGGCCTTTGCCCTGTCACCTTTCTATTCCCATCTCTGGGAGTGTGCTGACCAGATCTGTGTGGGAATTCCTCACAGGGAACCCCAGCATCTCCTCAGCCAGGACTCTCCATGACTGTGCTTCCTCCCTCATGACTTGGTGCCCCTGAACGATGACTGAGTGGGGACCTGCAGACAGGACAGGGAGCTTGGAGCAAGGAGGGACTGCTTTGACTGATGCAGATGTCTTGGATTGGGTCCACAGAAAGTGCTCCGGAAATGCTTTTAATGAATGAGTCGCAGACATCTGTGCTTAAGTAAAGGACTGAGGCCTTGAACCAATCAATGCCGGAGGGGAAAGTTAAGAGATGATCTAGATATCCAGATTAAAGCTGCAAAGACAGCCAGTCCACCCAGTGCCAGATACAGAGACCTTCCCAGATGCCCAGCAGTGACTGGCATGTGTCATAGGTAGCCAGTGGCTGGGGCCATAAGGGGGGAACATGAATGAGGGATGCCTCCCCCCCCCCACCTCCAAAGCCCAACTCTTAGGTTTTTCCTGAGGACCCCAAGGTGACTAGGGGTGAGGAAGGGCATTGCCCAGTCACAGGCACCTGTGCAACTACCTACTGCATACAGTACCTCGACTGGCCCTGCACCTCCAGGACACGCTGCCAACTGAGGCTCTAGGAGACACAGCAATACTTTTCACTGACATCCACAGAAACTAGAACCCACCCTTCACCACCTAGCTCCCAGGATCACCCTGATGCAAAGGCAAAGCAAGATGAATCCAACAGCCTCCATAAGTTTCTCTTCCTTTCCTGCCTCCCAGGCCTTCAGCTGCCCAAGGTGGCTTGGCAAACACCACAAGATACCATTTACCTGGCATCTGCCATATATGTTACCTCCCCATATGCAAGTCCACACATGTGTCTGTCCCCTCTAGATGGGTAAGAGTTCCTCAGGGTTACAGCTGAGGGGAGCCAGGATATGATCTGGCCCAGCCTGGAGCCTGAGATTGCCCATAAGGTGCTGCAGAGGCCCAGAGGGGGCACCTGCGACCCAGTTCTCCAGTCCAGTCCAGACCAGAGGGGGCCTGAAGGACAGGGCCTTCTAGAACTACATTTCCAGTGTCTCTTTCCCTCTTAATTCAGAGTTCCCAACACTGACCAACTGTTGAGAATCTCTGGGGGAAGGGACCACAGGGAAGGGGCCTTGGCCACAGTGTAGCACCCCTCTCCGCTTTCTGCTCCCAGCTACTGCCCCGTTTCCTTCTTGAGAGGGAAAAACTTGCCACCCAACTCCATTTTCCATCTTCACACAGGAGGAACCTATATGGGAAGAAGCACCGGAAGTGAACAGCATAAGAGGAGCTGGGTTTGAATCCCAACTGCCACTTCTACCAGCAGGGCCCTGGGAGGTCACCTGTCTTCTCTGATGCCATATGCACACTTTCTCTGACAGTTCAGGAAACGCCTTCTTGTCTATCATCTCATGTCTGGAGTCTGAAGCTCCCCACAACTTCCCTGCCCCATGACCTCTGCCTGCTGTGGTCAAAACCTTCACCTTCTGAAACCGCAGTCCTTAGGTGGGACATCTATGGGCATGTGGTAATAACGTCTGATTCCTTCTCTCCCATTATTCTGCAGAGCCACAGCTGGGAACTGCAGACCAACAGAGAGCTGCTGGCATGTGCCAGCCTCTTGAAGCAGCTGTCCAGTCAGCTGTGCCCAAGTGCAGCTGATAATGATTCTGTCCCTTCTCTAGCCCAGCCTCATAAGTGCACCTAGGTGGTCTCTTTTCCCAGCACCTCCCCCGCCCCAGGGCCACAGTGACTTTAACATCTACTTTTCTTAGGGAAGGAAAAAAGAACAGAAGTAAATCAAGTCCATCTCTGTCCCCAAGGAGCTCTCAGTTTGGCAGATGACACAGTCTTGGGCCATGTACTAAGCACCTCACTCAGTCAGTCTGCTCTGCATGGAGATGGAGGGGAAGCAGGAGCCCAGAGAAGAAAACACCTGAAGGGGTCAGCCTGGCAAGGTCAGGGGAGGCTTTCTGGAGAAGGCGGTGCTTGGCCTCGTAGTAATGAGTAAGGGGTACTCTAGCAGGCAGGCCAAGTCCAGGAGCCCTGCTAGGGAAGGGATCTGACCCTACAGGGATCACTACACAAGAATCCTTTCCAGATTGCCCATCCTGACTCCTTACACATAGGCATACTCTAGATTCCCCAGAAGACTACTGCCTTATAATAATTATAATAGGGCAGCTTGGGAAATAGAGTCCCAGTGGGCTACACTATCCCTAGCTGAATGATCTTGGTTAGGTCACCTAGCCTCCCCAAGCCTTTTTCTCTTCTGTAAAATGGTAACAGGACTGTCGAATAAACTGGCATCTAAATAGTCTAGCAGATGCTCATCAATGTGAGGCCAAGTCTGCCCTCGTCTGAGCCTTTTCCATTCCTAGGCTGGGCTGTGGGACCTACCTCCTCCCCAGGACAAGAGTGGGGTGGGCACCCCTTCCCCTACCTGCATAGTACCTTACCGTCTTACAGGGGAGCTGGTCTCGAAGCTGGGAGGTAGCCAGGCCCAGGGTCAGCATGGCCAGAAGCAGCAGGATCTGATAGCTCATGGCTCTGCCTGGGTGGAGAAGAAAGGGGAACAGTGAGACCAAGGCCCCTTCCAGGAGCACCGGTTCACCCTCCCTGGGGGATTCTCCTGAGAGTGCAAGGCACATGGGGTTGTCCAAGGGGCCTCAGGGGAGCTGGGAGTGGTGGTACCCCAGCAATGGTCCCAGTGCCCAGGAGGCTGAGGCAGGGGGCAGAGGATTATGAGTCTGAGGCCAAGCTGAGCCATTACTCAGGGTAAGCCATGTGTGACTTATCTGCTTTGGGTTTACATAAGGCCCATCCGAGGTCAGCAATACAGTTCAGTGGGTGAAGGTGGTTGTTGCCAAGCCTGACCACCTGAGTTTGATCCCCAGGACCCATATGATGGAAGCAGAGAACTAACTCTCAGACTTCCACTGTCTCCACACATGAGTTCCCCACTCCAAATAAATAAAATGCAATTTAAAAAGATTTTTAAAAAGAAGGCCCACCTAGTAGGAGATAGCCAGGAGGGGTGTGCAGGAGACAGCCCTGGGAATGATCAGGGCTGGGTGGAGAGAGGTGCGTCTCTGACTCCATTTTCCTCCAGGCCCCAGGAAGGCCTCCACCCCAGGTCCTTCGACCCAAGTGGAATGCCTCTCTGCCCCTCCTTTTTCTCTTGGTTGGAATTCTCAGCCCTTGCCATTGTTGGGGACTGGCTGGGCCTGTGACAGGAAGCCCAGGGAGGCCTGCCCTTCTCCACCCCAGCAGGCTGCCAGCCCTGAACTTTCACTGCAGGTACCGGCTACCCAGAACCACGGAGCCACTGCAGTGAGCAGCCAGGGCGGGGTCCAAGGGGGGACCCTAGAGGCCCTCAGCATGGGGGAACTCTCTGTAGATAGAGTCGGAGTCAAGTGCTGGGGAAACACAGCTCATTCATTCATCCACAACTCTACTGAATGACCCCTCACATCTGGCTCTGTGCTGGGAAATAAGGACAAGGCAGTGCATAGAAGCCACTGCGCATGGACAGAGTCATGCTACCAAGGAGGGACACATCTGACAGCTCCCTCTCATCTCTACCGATCTGCTGTGTGATCTTGTACAGGTCACTTCACCTCTCTGACCTTGTTTCCTGGGGTTAATGACAACCATGCCGTTTTACTGAGGATAGATGAGGCAGTCTACAGAAGTGCAAATCACACTCAAACCTGACAATTATTAACTCACACAATCCTCACCATGTTCCCTTCATATACTTGTCATTTTATAGACAAGAAAAACCAAGGCTGAGAGAGGTTAAGCAATACATCCAAGGTCACAGAGCTAAGTGGCAGGCTTGGGCTCCTGGGTTTGTGCCCTTTACCTCTATACTCTAAAGTCTCCCACAGTGGGTGCCCAGTGAGTTGCTGCTCTGAGGGCAGCCTTGGAAGAAGGCCTTGGCAGGCCACTGGTGATGAATCTCGATGAAGTGGCTGCTCTGCCATCCCATCTGTGGGAACACACAGGGGCCAATACCAACTCTTTCATGTTTCTTCCCTCCCTCAGGGCCCTGCCCTGCTCCACAGGGCTCTCCTTTCACAGCAGGCTGTGTGTTCACAGGGAATTTGGTTCTGTTGATTCAAAAGCAGATCTCCCCACCTGCCAGACTCTGGCATATTCAGAACAGAATGGAAGCCCTGGATGTATGGGCTCTCAAGGCCCCTGGGAACCAGCCCTCCCTAGCCAGCTCTTCTTTCAGCTAGCTTTTTACTGTTCCCTCCCCACTACAAGTTCTGAACACGTATTTTTTTTTAGACCTCTGAGTACCTTTCATTGCTCGAACCTCCACTTCCTCTGTCTCCTGTACAGCTGACTACCTCCTTATCCTGTGGCTCTCGGCTTAGATACCTCCTCCTTCAATGAGCCTTCTCTGGATCCCCAAGGTTGGCCTGTGGCCTCTGGGCTCTCACAGTCACTGAGCTTTGGAGAGCCCAGTGTGGAGCACAGAGCACAACTCACTAAGCTCCCCTGCTATTGGAAGGGAAGCACCCCTAGAGGCCCACCTTATGGTAAAGGATAGCCAGGTGGCACAGAGCTGCATGGGATGCTTAGGAGGGCAGGTCCCCAACTCCCTCCATCTCTCTGCCCCATCTGTCCCCCATCAGCAGGTCCTGAGCTGCCTTCCTCAACAGCCCAGCCAACTCTGTTCTGTGTCTCTGCTTCCCTCCAGCCCCAGACAATCTGTCCTGCACATGGCAGCCAGTGACGTTTCCGAATCACATGCCAGATCTTACGTGTCACTCTGAAATCTCCAGTAGCATCCAGGCTCCACACTCTCCCATCCGCTCCACCTCAGCAAACTCCTCAATCACAGAATGTCTTCCTGCCTGAAGCCTCTGCCCTGCTGCTCCCTCTGCCCAGAGCACTGTTCCCCCTTCCCACGATGTTCTTTCTTATCTTGTCTTTCATTATATGGAAATGGGTGGTTTAAGTAGATGCTCACTAAAGATCTCGAGCAGCAACTGGCCAACTGGGGACAGGAGCTCAGCTACAAGTCAGGACAAGGCAGGGCCTGGGGTTAAGGTAGAGGAAGCCAAAGGAGTCCTATTTCCCCCTCCTCTGTCAAATTCTGTTCTACCACAGTACAGTTGAATTCTGGTGGGAAGGTGCCTTCTGCTATGTTCCCCCTCCCCTGCAGTGATGCCCAGCATCTGCTGTCTTTGACATGAGAGGCCCAGGGGCATTCAGACCTGGGCTCATAGCCACAGTCCACTGCTGGCCAGTCCCACCCCTCAGGGCTACCTCTCCCCTACTCAGTTGTCCATCTGTAGGACAGCCTGGTTCCCCTTCTGCCACAGGCCACCCCTGACCATTGGGATGGTCAGGTGGAACATGGTCATGTACATGCCAGGATACCTCAGTGTTAAAGAATCTCAATCTCTCTCTGTCTCTGTCTCTCCTCTCTCTCTCTGTGTCTCTCTCTCCCTCCCTTCCTCCCTTCTTCCCTCTCTCTCCCTCTCCCCCTCCCTCCTTCTGCTCTTCCTTTTTCCCTCCCTGTTCATTTCCTTTTTCTTTTTTCTTCCCTCCCCTTCCTTTCCCTCTCCCTTTGTGTGTGTGTGTGTGTGTGTGTGTGTGTGTGTGTGTGTGTGTGTAACAGAGGAAGGGGCAGAGGGGCAGAGACAGAACAGGGAGAGGAGGAAATTCTGTAATCAGCATAGGACCACCCATACTAAACCAGGATGACTTTACTGAATACTTGACCTATGTCAGGTCATTAATTCTCACAATCACCCAATGAGGTAATTACTGTAATTCCCATTTTACAGACCAGAGAACTGAGGCTCTGAGGTGAGATGACTGATTCCTAGTTCCTAAGTGTCTTGGCAGTGGGTGTCACCCAGGTCTACAGGCTGAGTGCTGTGTGGTCTCCGGCCATGTGGAACCTGCTGCCCCCACCCAAAGCTCCCCCTCAGCAGGAGGCTCAGAGAACTGACTTACCTAAAGTCCCACGAACAGAATCAGGATCAGAATCCAGTCCGTCTATTCCAAAGCAACTGCTTTGGCTCAGCCAGGCCAAGACCTCCCTTCCCTAAATTAATTACTCTGGGCTCTGGGGCTCTGGGGCTCTCTGGCTCCCTCTGACGCACTGGCAGAAGGGGTCCTGGGAGAACTGCTTTGAGGCTCACAGGGCAGTGAATCACTAAGGGCGAGCATCCCAGGGGATTTAGACCTTAACCCAAAGGAATGCAGCCGAGATGCGGAATGTCAGGAGGGTGGGGGAGGTGGGGAGTGGGGTGGGGGTCCCTCTCATCTACCACCCATAAAGAAGGCCGCCTTCAGGTCCCTCCAAAGATCTCTAAGTGTCCCTTCCAGAGACGATGGTGGTGGCCCGGGAAGCCCACGCCCGCCTGGAGCAGAGTGCTGGCCGGAACCTGAATTCAAATCCTGCTCTGCTCTGCTAGGCTCTGTGTGTTTCCAGTCCTTGATTTTCCCAGCTGTCAAATGGGAACACCAGCCGAGTCCTTCGCGGGGAAGATCGACCTAGACTTGGGAGACTTCTGGAGGTGAGGAAGGGTCGGGCCCCCGCTCCCGAGGCGCCCAGCTGGCCGCCCTTACCTGGCTCAGCGCAGCCGCCGCTCCTCTCCTTCGCACATCGTGCGCGCAGCTGGCGGGGTCCGGCCACCAGAGGCCCGGCCGCCGAGCTAGCCGGCCGCGAGGGGGCGGCGCCCGCAGCTTAAATAGTGCCTGCCGCCCGGCCACGCCCCCCCGGGGCCCCGCGCCATGGGGTCCTAGCGCCGCCCTCCGGCCGCGCCCGACCGGGAAGTGGCAGCGCGGGGCTCGGGGTGGGGGGGGCGCGCATCCTCTGTTCCCAGGAACACCTCCGGGCCAAGGCGGAGGCAGAGGGCAGCGCACCGGCCGGAGCAGAAAGCTCCCGGAGGGAGGAGGATCGCGAAGGAAGCGCGCACGGGCAACCGCACGTGCAGCGGGCCTGCCGCGAGGCCCTGGGGGCGGGCAGCTCAGGTCCGTGGAGGAAATCCTGGCGCCGCTGCACTGGGGTGGGGGCCACGCCAGAGGTGACTGACGGCCCGGAGCGCGGGAGGAAGTGACCCTTCTTTGGCCCTGGGGCAGCCGCTGAGGGGGTTCCCCTACCGTCGCCATCCCTGCTTCGTCATCTCCGAGTCTGTCAAAGTCCCCAGCTAACCGATGGAGAGACTGAGGCTAAGGGTAGCGGGGCAGTGAATATAGATGAAAGCCAGTTGGCTGACACTAATCAGACCTCCATTTACAGCAGGGTGATCCAGCGCATATTCAGAGTCCCACCGCCTCTTTTTGGTTTTTGAGTCAGGGTCTCCCTGTAGCCCCAGCTGGTCTGTAGCTGGCTACGTGTCTGTGTTGGTCTGTCTGTCTCTGTCTCCGTCTCTGTCACCTCCCCACCCCATGCTTGGGACTGAACTCAAGACCTTGCACATGCTAGCCGATTGCTATCTCAAACTGGGTTGTATCAACTTTTATATCAGGGAGTGGAGCAGGTCTACCCAAAGCTGCTCCTTTTCAGGATGCCTCGCCCTATCAAGTCCCAGGTACCCTGTGCTGCTGGCTGTGGACTGAAGGATGGGCATTCCTGGGGGAAGAGTGTGGCCACTGTCCTCCAGGCCCTGGTTCCTCCCACCTGCATTGAGAGTGGGGCCACACAAACCATCCTACAATATGCACATGAGCAGCGTCTTTTCTTTCCATCTAGTCCACTGTGGGTCAACCCAGAGAGGGCCATCCCTGTCAGCAAATGCCAAGGCCCTGACCTAGTCTTGACCTAGCCTGAGGTCAGGGAAGACTTCCTGAAAGAGGGGGCAGAGCTGCAATGAGGAGTTGGGTAGAGGCTGCAGGTGAGGGACACACAGCAAGGCCAGGCAGAGTAGCCAACCCTCCTGCTTCCCTCCAGCCACCTCATGTCCTTCCAAGGGTCCTAGGCAACTCATCCTCCCTGGCTGAGGGAGGTTCCAAATGGAACCTCAGTTTTCCTGTCTGGAATGTAGGAAAGACAAGAGCTACTTCTTAGGGTTGGTGCTGGGACTAGATGAAATTAACACAGGCTGAGGCCTACACCCAGGCTGCTGGAGAGAATGCTCCAGATCTCCACTGTGGCCCAGTGGCTTCTATATCCAGGACACATTCTGGGAAGAGGCTTCATGGCCACTCTGCAATGTGAGCAGAGCACTAACATGTCATATCCAGGCAGGCTGGGACTGTCCCCACCTACTCCCCCATTCAGGACTAGCACTGCTTCAGCCTTCTGGAGCCACCCCAGAGCTTGGCCTAAGGTGGGGGTAAGTGGGGCTGGGGCCGTGGCCGCAGAGTGAGCAGCCCACCTCCCTCATGTCCCCAGAGGCTGCAGTTGTGGTTAGTGAGCACAGGGGTTCTGCCTTATTCGGTGCCCAGATGAGACTCCCCAAGAGTTGGAGACATAAGAGTAACCAAGCCTGCCCATGTTATAGATGTCTCTGGGGCTGGGGACTAAGAGTCAGAACTCCTCAACAAGTCTGTCCTTGGGTAGTCATGCTGTGTGACTTGGGGGTAGCTTGCTTGATTTTTCTGATCTCAGCTTGTTGATCTGCAGAGGGAGACAAATGATAACTCTAATATTCTGGCCTGCTGGGGAGACTGCATGTAAGAGCTCGTTAAGAACCCATTGAGAAGCCGAACTGCAGTCCTGAGCTCAACCTGCTGTACTTGCTCAGTAAACTTGACCCCTTTCTGTGGTGGGCCCTGGGGAATTGGGGAGTGAAACTGTCCAGCGTCTTCTCTTGTGAGCAGATGGGAGACTGTGACTGATCAGAAGCATAGAAGGCCAAGCCAAGAGGCGGAGCTTGAGTCTACAGAGGAGGGATGGCAGAACCTGAGCAGGGTGGGATTTGCATGGCAGCCATGTGGAGCATGGCTTTCTGCTAATGGCCATGGAGGCTAGCTTTCTGTTTCCATCCAGTACCACTTGCATCCTCCAGAAACCGGGAGTTTTGAGGACAGCCCTCAGGTGGCGGGTCAGATGTCAGCTGTGGTGTTTTATGGAAATGTCCCCATCCCTTCATGTAGCTATCAGTGAAGATGGGGCATCATCTTTTCCTGGGTCCTGAGGACTCCCATTCTAAGACAGTGCCTCTTGGGCACTAAGTCTTATTCAAGGCTCCCTGGGAGGATTTTGCTCAGGCAGGTTGAGATTTGGGGATCCCATATAGGACCTAGTGGCCTAGAAAGCCAATGATGTACATATCCTATGTGACTGAGCAAGTTGTTAAACCTCTCTGAGCTTCCTGTCCTTGTTTAACTAGAAAACAGAATGGGATGGACCATGACTGTCTGGACTCCTAATGTAGTTCCCTTTGTACTTTGCTGAACACTCACTGTGTTCCAGTCCTTATTTGGCATATCAGAATAAAGATGGCCACAGACAGCCTTCCAATTAGATGTCTTTATTCTCATTTCCTGACTATGAAATTGAGGTACAGAGAGGTTAAGTAACTGTCTCAAGTCCCACAGCTTTGGTACCAGGAACTGAATCCAGGTCTCTTGCCTCCCATGCCAGAGACTAGTGCTTAGCTGTGGCTGTCCTCACTCCTTGCCCCTGCCTAGCACTCATGTGGGCTTCTGGGAGTCAGGGAATTCCCCATCAGCTGCTATTGAGGGCTTGCCTGCTGGGCCAGAACCCTGGCTTCCCCAGTTCTTCCCCATGTACAGAGAGGGCTCTGACTGTGCCCGCTGGGGACCCCCTCCTGGACGGACAACAGGAGAGGACAAACCACTTGGCTAGGTGTCAGACATGTCAGAGAAGGGAGTTTGAAGCCAAAAGCCAGCACTGGGGACCAGGGAGACAGAGACCACATACAGACAGGGTGTGTCCTTTGCTCTGTGGAGTGGATGGCTTCAGTGAAGGACAGGACAGGGGTGGGTACTTCTCTGGTACTCTTCTAGCAGGTCATCATGGCCCCTTTTAGGGGCAGGCTCAGGGATTCCAACTTTACCCTCAGGTGGGCAGGGCAAGGCAGGGCATCTGGCAGTCTCAGGCTCCAGGCTGCCCCCTCACTCCCAGCCCTCCCCGACCCCACCAAAGGGCTGGTTTTCTGTTCTTAGTAGAATCACCACCTCCCCGTGACACTCAGAGTCATCCAGGCAGGGGTGGCAGGTGCTGGTGAGGCCCAGTTCCTCTCTACTGTCATACAAGGGCCTCCAGGCCACGAGCACCTCTTGGTAGTGAGCACTATAGCTGAGCCCCCTGGAGGTCCCCAGGGAGTGGCGAGGTGCCAAGTGAGAGCCTTCAAGACAAACACGAAGCTCCAAGCGTCTCTGTCTCCGCAGCGAGTCTGTGCTGAGCAGTGGACCATGAAACCGCAGTGCTGTGGCCAGGGACTGCTGGGAACTGGGGGACCCAGCTCACAGCACTTCCTGGTTAACCATTTGAAGGTGAGTCAGGTCCCATGGACCCTTTCTCGATCATTCGGGTGGCACAGCCTCAGCTATGGAGTCCACCGTTTCCTATGGTAATGGAACCAGGGTGAAGAGGCCATGCTGGAGCAAACAGTAATGGAAACAGGGCTCCACATGGAGGACAAAGCTGTGGCCAGGGAACGGGATACCCTCAGCTCAGCATCTCCCTCGCAGCTTCAGGATCCTTTTGTGTAGGATGGAGCCCAACATCAGGTGGGGTGAGAGGGTGAGAAGCCAATGTACACTGGGAACATGATGGCATAGGATTGGGTCAGTCTGACTGGTACCATCTTCCTCATGGGAAAGCCTGTGTTCTGTAGGTGACAAGAACACATGGAGACTAGCTAGTGTCAGGGAGGCATGGTTTGAGGGAGCCACAATAGGGAGACCTTGCCTTTCAGGCTCAGTGCCTCCTGAGGGAGGGACTATGGCCTGGTAAAGCTCTCCCTGTGGACGACCCCTGTCCTAGCAGTTCCCTAAGGCCTCAGCCCAACATCCAGACTGGATGCTTAGTTTCTGGTGGGCTGAGCTTGCAGTAGTCTTCAGGCACCATCTTCCTCAGAGAGGTGAAAGTCCCACACCTGGCGGAGCCTTGGAACTGGCTCTCACAAGCCTGGGTGATGCCTGCAGTGGGGTCACCTTTCCACACTTCAGAGAATG